ATAATTTGGGCCGGTTTTTCAAGCAAGGGGTTGACCGAAGTTGCCTTCCTGCAAGGACGCCAGAACTCCTATGCCTACTGTGAATCTATTGCAGACTATTTCCTGCCCTTTGCCCACGCCAACCACCCCGAAGGTTTTGTTTTTCAACAAGACAATGCCAGCATTCATGCCAGCAACGAGACCAAGTCGTTTTTGGCCGAGCACGAAAGTCCACTTTTGAGCTGGCCTTCCCTCTCGCCGGATCTGAATCCGAACGAAAATGTCTGGGGATACCTGGCGCGGAAGGTTTATGCCAACGGGCGTCAATTTGAGACCGTAGACGAGCTCAAACTCGAAATTTTCCGGCAGTGGAATGCCATCGACTCCGATCTGCTTCTGAAGCTTGTGGCACCGATGAAATCGCGTTGCATTGCTGTTTTGCAGCTCAAGGGCTCGTGTACGAAGATTTAAAGTATAACGTAGCTCATTTTGCCTTCATACTTGCTCTTGTTTGTCAAATTGCAAAAGTGTACCTTTCTCTATGTCCAGCTTAAATTTTGCAGAATTTAAAAAAGTGCAGATATCTCGAGCAACATTCTATGTTTGTGAACTCTGAAGGTTCCATAAGATCACATCAATTGCTGCTGTGTGACGACGGCTTTACTCAGGCCAGTCAGTGCGTCGAAGAAATTTTGTGTCGGAAAACATGAGTACAGTACCTATCTTCACTGTCCAGCACTGTATCATGACCGCTCTGACATGAAATCACACCGCCAATATCACGCCAATTGATTGGTCAATATATCCTGCTTTTTGTCCACTTCATCAAAACTCATTTCGTTGGGGCTTGCCATGGCGAAGCAGCGTCAATATCGCAGTGACGGACTTGGACCTCCTGTACTTGAGGTAGATCGCATCGATGGCCGTGTCGCTGGTGTGACCACGCTTCAGCATACCTTCGACTAGGACCCAGAACTTCAAACGGAAACAGAAGACAAACTTCGCTTTGCCGCGCTCCTTCTCGTTGAACAACTTCGCAGGTTTGACCCCGCCGATTCCAAACTCGTACTCCTTCCACAGCTCAAATAGGTCTCGTGGCCGCTTTGCTAAGCGAGCGGTCGGCCGGGAAAGCACACCAGGAGCCCCATGATCGGTAGGCATCGTCACGGAACGGACAACAGGCTGAACTGTGATGCGCTTTATCGTAGAGTGCAAGCGCTCAAACTGAGATCGCATCGTTGTTTGTAGGGATGCGAGTTCCGCTTGATGTTGTGAGTGTACCTCCTCGATGCGACGCTTTAGGGCGTTGATCTCGGTAGACTGTGAGAGTAGGGCTGCTATGACGGCTGTGGACGACGTTGCCTGCCCACCCAGCTCGGCCATTTCACCACTCATGTCCACCAGTCTCAAATCGCCGTCAAAAC